CCGTCCAATGAGGGAAACCACTTGTGGCCACGCAGATCAAACTTGCAGGATTGTAAGTAAAACCAAATCCATTTAACATTTATACCATTTATACAAACATTTCACTGCTTTTTAAAAGCAGGCAAAAAGTGTGAATTTTGCAGATCATAATGTTCTTCTTTAATATTTAATGACGTAAGATACGAAATCCAGATGCAAACGAGAGCTTTAGGATTTAGGATTGGAAATATGAGTAAAACTGCTCTTACACACGAGTAAGGACGTTTTGTTTCCAGTGGCTACTTGTATTATCAGTAGAAGTCGGCACCTGTTAGCACGAATCCCGCTCACATAGAGTGTTTCTGCTTTGTGTGTCTGTGTGTGGGTGTGTGTGTGTGTGTGAGTTTGTGGGTGCTTGTGTTTATGTGCGTCTGTCTGGCCCGGTATAAATAATGGATAAAGTTTAATAAGCTTTTTGTGGAACGTCTATGGGCTGTTGACCGTCGGGATCATTATTTAGGATTCTGTCAGTCAAACTCAAAAGGCACAACGCTGAGCCCCTCTGTGTCCCTGCGCACGCACACACAGTTCGGCTGTGCGCACACGTGCGTTGCCGCATCGCTCGGCGCAAACGACAATTGCCCTCGCTGTTCAAACAAGGCGAAAACAAATAAACCACATCGTCTGTTTCCACAGAGGATCTCGATAAGACACAAATCAGCTCATAGGCACAAAAACGTGAACAAGGTCGGGAAAAGAGGGAGTAAAACAACAATGGACAACTTTGATATTAATCCTTGAACTTTCTCTGAGTGCCCGCCCCGTTTTATTCTTAAACCCTGCTTCCTTCTATCTTACTTCTCCTAATCTCAGCATGTCCTTCCAGCCCTCGTGCCTGTTGCTCAAGCAGCCTCTTAAAAAGAAGGGATCCCCGTCCGTTGTGTCAAATGTTCGTATACCAGATGCAGAGAAAACGTTTGGTTACTAGCAACCTCTGAGGTGTGTTTTTGGCCTATGATCTTAACAGAAGTTGGACTTTTTGGGGAGATTGCTTTCTTTCTGAGAGTTGGATTAAAAGGTTGATACCACTCTCCCATCTGTACGTAAATGATGAAGCTTGCAGGACGATATATCATATTTCTTTATCTCCGGTAAACCCCCCCCCCCCCCCCCAAGTATAACAGAATATTTGTGGGGATGTCCCCCAGTTAAATCCAACAGGGATTTCAATTAAAATTCCTCACATTTGACTACACCACTAAACATTGTGTGTGTTTACAATGTGGATATTATTTGACAGCAGAGGGCTGTTGGCTCCCAACCAAGCATCTCGAGGAAGAGCAACGGGCCTAAAATGTCACGTGTTGTCCAGTGGGATTACAACTTCATCTGTCGATACCCCGGATACCCCGTTTCCCCCAAGACTTATTGTCAAAGACATGCCTGTAACTGAGGGGTGGGAGACGGGGTTAAGATAAATGCTAGTGCTTTTGCCCAATGGGAGACCTTCTGGGTTGCAGAAGGTACTTAAAAGTCAGTGGATTTTTTTTCATGTGCCGTTGAGCAACTATCATAGGGAGGAACCAGGCGCAGCCTCCAGCTATGCACCAGTTCCCTTTATGAAGTCATATAGCTTATACACCTCTCCGGTTGCTAAAGGGTGTGAATCAATTTATTGATGGATGGACGTCATTTTATTCTTGTTCAAATTGCAGCTTGATGCATCAGAAGAAGCCAACCAACGATTCAAAGGAGGAGGTCCTTGGGAACATCACCTTGAAATGAATCCTTTACTATGGAATTTTTATCGGAGTTGAATAATTACAATTGATTTTTGCCTTGGTCAACATGATGAAAAACAAACAAATATTAGACCAACGCAAATTTGGATTCCACTACAGAAGTCTCATTTCTGGACCGTGCAGGGCTGCAATCAGAGACTCTTTTCATTTGTGTTTATTTGTGGACGCAAGTGGGCGCCTCGCCTCCTTCCTCCACTCAGCCGATGCTGACTCATCCGTTTTTGGGGGGGATTTTTTGGGCCAATTAAATAATTCAGAGTTTTTTTTTTTTTTTTTTTTATCTGTTTCATATCTGTGCTTGCCTGTAAAAGAACCCCCAGTAATTACACACCCACCAAAACAAGATGCCAACAACTCTCCGGAAAGGAGAACGAAGGAAAGAAAAGAGGCAATAAAGGGGGCGGCGGGGCGAGAATTTGCGGATCAGGAGAGAACAGAGCGCGGGAGACAAGTGTATCTTCGGCACTGTTGTAAATCCTCTACGCGGCTTTGTTAAGCTGTCAGACAAGCCAAGGGTGTTAACGGCGCGGGGCGGGAGCGACGCACACACCTGGAAAAAGTGTACCACTGCTGTCGGCTCGACTGGCTCACTGCTGTGTTTTATGGCTTTCTATTCCTATGTGATTTTCTCTGGCATGTCACATAGGGTCTAAAGCCATTGGGTACAGAGTGGGAGATCTGCAGACGGGGATAAGATGGATATCCGGAATGACAGAAGAGGGATTAGAGAAGAGCGTATCGAGGTTTAATAGATGTATTTACACACACACAGACACACACACACACACACACACACACACACAGGCATAGCCTGAGGCCTGTCTCTCCGCTTGCAGGCAACTCGGAGTCTTGCTCAGCTAATTGCTCCCATAAGAGACAGGTTGAAGCTCATATCAATCCCTAAAGCCACACACAGAGACACAGGGACACACTTTTTGGGTCTGTGCTTGTTGTTGTCCCATTCTCTCCCACTTGCATTACGCAACAAAAACACATACATACGCACACCCACACACACACACACGTTACACCCTCCAGCCAGAGCTGCTGATGCTGCTGACTCAGGTTGGTATTTAATGAAGCTCTCAGTTTCACCTTGCGTGTCCTAATCTCTGTGCTCCTTCGCAAATTGGCAGTCAGCTTGCCACGCTGGAGAAAAGCGCTAACATTAGGGGTTCGGTCAGCCTCAAGACTACTTCGGGCTGAGAGTCTGTGTGAGCAAGAGAAGGAGGAAGAGAGTAGAGAGAGTAGTTCAAGCACAATGGGAAGAGAAATGTGAGAAGGAGAGTAATGGCAGTGTTTCAGCCCTTCCCTGTGAGTGACAGTGCTCAATAGACCACCAGGCCAGTCTTTACCGCATTGCATGTGCAAGTCTGCGGTGTGTGTTGACCGACCGATCCACTTGACTGCAGTAACTTTCTCTGCATTGAGTGGGGGTTTTTTTTGCTGATGGCGCTGCAAAAAAACGTCAAAGACACAGATGCACATAAACACTCACGGAGCCTTGATGATTTTTGACAGCTGTCCGCTATATATTTAGTAGATTCAATCGGTTTTCCAACTGTAGAGCGGCAGTTGATCAAAATGATGATGATACATCACAGGCAATTGAGAGTGGGAGCCATGTGGTAGCTTGGGAGTACGTTCCTGACCACGTGGCCATAAGGGTTCAACTGAGGGTACGTTCCCGACCATGAAGCCATGAGGGGTCGACTGAGGGTACGTTCCCGACCATGAAGCCATGAGGGGTCGACTGAGGGTACGTTCCCAACAATGAAGCCATTAGGGGTCGACTGAGGGTACGTTCCCGACCATGAAGCCATGAGGGGTCGACTGAGGGTACGTTCCCGAACATGAAATGAGGGGTTGACTGAGGGTACGTTCCTGACCACGTAGCCATAAGGGATCGACTGAGGGTAGTTTCCTGACTACGTAGCCATAAGGGGTCAATTGAGGGTACGTTCACGACCAAGTAGCTATGAGGGGTCGACTGAGGGTACGTTCCCGAACATGAAGCCATGAGGGGTCGACTGAGGGTACGTTCCCGACCATGAAGCCATGAGGGGTCGACTGAGGGTACGTTCCCGAACATGAAACCATGAGGGGTTGACTTGAGGGTACGTTCCTGACCACGTAGCCATAAGGGATCGACTGAGGGTAGTTTCCTGACTACGTAGCCATAAGGGGTCAATTGAGGGTACGTTCACGACCAAGTAGCTATGAGGGGTCGACTGAGGGTACGTTCCCGAACATGAAGCCATGAGGGGTCGACTGAGGGTACGTTCCCGACCATGAAGCCATGAGGGGTCGACTGAGGGTACGTTCCCGAACATGAAACCATGAGGGGTTGACTTGAGGGTACGTTCCTGACCACGTAGCCATAAGGGATCGACTGAGGGTAGTTTCCTGACTACGTAGCCATAAGGGGTCAATTGAGGGTACGTTCACGACCAAGTAGCTATGAGGGGTCGACTGAGGGTACGTTCCCGACAAAGTAGCTATGAAGGATCGACTAAGGGTAGCTGGTTCATTAACATTTAAAGGAACAGGCACTCAAAACAGGTCACTCTGTGGAGGGCTGTTTTAGACAGGGTAAAAAGAGTGCTGTTTTAAATGATCCTTGGAGTATTTTGACCAAAGCATGTTACAGACATTTCAATAAGAACCCAAGGAACCATATCCACCTGTGGTAAAATGGGCATACGATGGGTTCTTTAATGTTTTCACAGCTTCATGTTTTATTAAAATCTCATTGCAAACATTTTTCAGCTCGAGGCCATCCTCCGAGCAGAGATTTAACAACCCGTTCCTGCGTGTGTCAATACTTCTGGAATAATTTGTGCTGCACAATAACGGCATCAGTGCTAAAAATGTATAGCACCACTGTGCTGGGAGGCAGGCAGCAGCCACTGCACAGCATGACATGGAAACTGCATGCACACTTCAACAGACCTTTCACTTTAGGACAGTCCTTTCGGCGAACCGCAAGTGATTCAAACACAGCCGGATGAGGCAGAATCTTTTCATCGTAGAGTTCTGTGAAATCAGGAACTCACTTCGCCTCAATGCCTTCCTTTTCCTTTGATACCAGATATCCATTTTGTGTTTAAAAGACTCGTGACGTGTGTATGATGTCCTGGCAGATTTTCCAGATGACGGCGGCACCGTCCTAACAACTACAATCCTCTCTTCTCCCCCCAATCCCTCTTCCTTCTGCAGGTCTTTGTGGATCCGCTGCGGCGTCTGATAGGCCATGCCCTTCACCTGCGCCTGCTTCTGTGGCCTGAACAGCTTTTACCGTGGACTGGGAAAGAAGAAAAGGGAAAAAGTGGAGGAGGAGAAGGAGGAGGAAGAGGGTGACCGATGGAGGGATCAGGAGACAAAGGTGTGACAGCGCTGCTGTCCTCACCTTCATCAGGGTATTATCCTTTAACAGACTGCAATGTACAGCCCTGGGTTGTATGCATTAAGATACTTTAACAGGGATTGTTAGGGCGCCTCATCGGGGTACAAGCTTTTTATCGTTTATAACAGAGAAAGGTTTTTGTCACATAGGTTTCAGGATTGACATGTTTTGCTACTTTTTGAGCTTTATAAACTCAACAATGCTGTCTCAAGCCATATTCTTCAAGAAACCAAACCCCTATTAACTCAAGCTCAGTGCCCTTAACCGTGCTACCTGCGCTCGAATTTTCCCTTGGCAGCGGACCGTTTGATCCATTTCTCGCCAGTGGACTGTATCAGGTCCCCCTCTTTCTCCCCCCAAATCATCTCCCCACCTAGTTGCTTTTGTTAGACTTTGCAGTAACTTCAGCCAAGAAGAAGAAGTGTACAGTTTTTTTCCAAAGTCACACTGGAGGGCCGGGAGCCTCATCTTGGCTTTCACGCCTGAGCTGGGCCCGATTGAAAGCAGAGCAGCTGTCCAATCAGCGGCTTAGCTGAAGTGTGAAGATAGGAGTCAAGGGGTCAGGATGAGCAACAGGGCTTTACGAGACATCCCTCCTCTGATGCCATAGCATCTCAGTCTCATCAATAGGGAGACAAGTAATTACAAAATACACTCACACACACAATGACGCGGGCCCATCCATTAATGTCCCGCCCGGTGGGAGTGGAGTGTCGCTCCGTAAATGCCACCGCCGTGCGCTTCTAGCTGCCAGCCGCGTGGCAGTGCGCGACTCCGCGTGCTCGTCTGTCTCCTCGACTGCAACAATAGCCTTTGAAAGCCTGAAACAGTGGCCAACAGATCTATTCAGCTGCCACGGAACTGGCTTTTCACGATTGCCCATCGAGCCACAAACACACACGCAGGTCTCATTAGGCGCATGCCATTATGCGTGGCACGTCCGGTCGGGCGGCAGAGATGTAATTAACCTTTTCCTGCAGGAAACAGATGCCTTACGCACACACCGCACACACACACACACACACACACACACACACGCGCGCGTCTGCTGTCAGGGAAACAAAGCCGACGTCACCGTGTCACAGAGAAACAAAGCCCCAAAAGAGCCGCCTGGCACTCTCTGATAATCCCCCTCACCCATATTTACAATCAGGGCTTAGAATACGCCTCGCCGCCGCCGTCTCCTTCCACTGCCGCACTCAGTTACCAGCACCACCACCATCCGTGCCTCCACCCATCCATCTTCTTTCCCTCCTATCTGTCCACCTTCCATCACATTCACCCTTTACCTCCCTCGATCTCTTCCCCTCATCCATCTTTTACATCCCAGCTGCAAAACTCCTTTGCGGGGATTTGGTTTATCGTCAGTGTGTCGTACGCGGCCTTGCACGCCATCAACCGCGGATTATCGCCCACCCACACGCTGACTCTCTTCATCCCCGAACAACAGGAATTTATTTAGGCGGACCAGAAGAAAACTGCTTCACGACAGATTAATGGACGGCCCCGATAGCGTCAGCGGGTGTGTTTCTGTGCTTCTGTGTGTTTACTCATTTCCCAGCTGCAATCGGCGAGACGAGACAAAGCTGAAGACATTTCACAGTGCGGAGCACCTATTATGATTCACGGTGTTACGACGCGGCCCTAATGAGAAAAAGAGAGAATGGGAAGAGGGGCTGTAAAGGGATAGACGAGGAAGAGAGAGAGAGAGAAAGGGGGGCTAACGCTGGAGAGAGCAGTCATGCTAATTGGCTACAGTGGATAACTTTCTGAGGCGAGGGTGAGTGTGTTTGGTGATGGGCGGGGGGGCGAGAGGTGGGGGGCGGCGGGGGGGGGGTTTTCAGAGAAAAAGAACAGCCTGATCTGTCAGCGTTACACTCATTTAACGCTCCCTCCATTTCACCTCTTTAATGAGTAAAATATTCGCTCCAGTAATGGCGAAAGACTTGAAATTGGTAACGATTTGTTGCTCTCTCTCACACACACACACACACACACACACACAGACCATTAGGTGGCATAGGGGAGGGGTGGGGCTGGAGGGAGGATAATGTTGGCCCGAGTGGGTGTGTGTTTTCCCCCTCAAGCCAGACAAACCAGTCCTTTATGGATCATGGCAATTTTCAGGGATGTTTAACTCAAGGACAAAGAGCTAAAAATAGAAGGGGTCGTGCACAACTTGGTGGGAGAAGGTGTGTGTGTGTTTCGGTGTGTGGGGGTGGCGAAGACAAGTTTTGTCGCATTAGATTTGGGTCAGAAAACGAGGGGGAGAGCCGACGAAGCGGAGAGCGTTGCAGACGGCGGCGGAGATTCATCACTCGCTGCTCGCGCTTGTCTCCTTCGACGCATCGCCGCGACCTCTCCTGCTCACCTTTCCTCCCCCAGGATGGCAAAACCAGTGCAAGTGGCGAACAGGTGAAGGGAATGTATGAAGTGAGAGGATAATCCACATCTAGATAATATTAACATTTGGTGTTCCGGTACCTTGAAGTAAAATGAGCACACACATACTGTGGCAGACCCCAGCAGGGATGTTTCTTTTGGTCGGAGTCCGCTCCAGTTTCAAAGATTATAGTTATGCCATTTCATTTTGACAAACGCTGACATACCATTCTCTCCAATATTAGCTGAGAGGTACAATACCTGTATGGTTAGCGTAAGGGGAAATGCGAAACGATTAAATTAGCATATAGACGGAACTCCTCGCAAGACAGCCAAAAAAAAAATCGCATTTCCCCAAATGTCAAACTATGCATTGAATCAAATGGGGAGTATGTTGATTTACCTTCTATTACGTGAGAGATTGAACCAAATAAACCTGACAGAAGTGCCTTGGTCAAGGAAAAAAATAACTTCCTCATCACTTCTGAGTACCTTTCTCCAGGGACAATACAATTCATCTCTCGCATTAATAAACAACTCTTCTTCCCTCATGTGCATCAGACAGTCGTCCCTCTATTACATTCTCCACGCCTCACCCCGCATCTGCTCTAGTCGTCCTAATGAAGACAAAAGAATTGGTCCCACCAAGGCTAATTAAGAGGACTGAGATACAGACGCGCTGACAGCCTGCCGATGGACTCAGGAGGGAAGCGCTTAGAGCTCCCTGCCAGTCACGGGGCATCAACGAAGCGAATGGGAAAAGGGATGGCGAGGGCAAAAAAAAAAACAAGCAGAGGAAGAGGAGCGGAATAGGGGTGGGGGTATACAGCGTAATTGAGACTGTAATGGGTTTTGTCAGAAGCACCTGTCAGGGTCAAGTTAAAACGATTTTGGCGCGAGGGAGACGGGAGGGATGGGAGAGGGGAGAAGGGGGGGGGGGGGCAATTGGAGTCAGGATCCCGGTGAGGAGAGGCCCTCGTCCATGCCAACCTCACCTGATTGCCAATTTGTGCCAGTCTACAGACATCAAACGCCCCCAAACACGAGCCCCGCGCAGACACACCGAAAGAGGAACGCGTTCGATCACACTCACGCACGGACGCCGACGTCAAGCTACCCGCGCCGGGCTGATTGGACCCATCTAGCCACTTAACGAGGTGTCCACGGTGCCGACCCTGAGCTGCGTGATTGGGATATAAAGCCGCCGCCGTTAAATATCTAATTCTCCGCCCACGTCTGGATGAAAATAAGGCGCGGCGCTGATTAGATTGCAGCCTGCTGCGCCAACCCGCCGGGTCTGCGCCATGTTCGTTACCAGCCCTCGACCCCCTCCCACCCCACCCCGACAGGTACCGTACCCGCCCCCGCCCCCCGGGCCAATCCCATCTCGGTTCAGGTGCTCCTGCCAACCACAAACAGCCTATTTTGTGATGGAAAAGCAATTCCGACACCCTCGAGAGTTGAGGTCGATGCCTGCGGAGTGATGAAATTAAGTTGAGTAAAATGCATTTACAAATCAATGTTAAAGCCGCACCTGGAAAATTAAACATGTGACAGCCCCCCGAACGCCAGCGGGACGCAGCTGATTTAAATTTAGAACCTCTGACACAATTGAATTCTTTTAGGGAAATATCAGTGAATACCCCGCTGAGGTGAAGAGGTTCAGGCGCCGTCCTCTCGGGACGAGTGCCGTCAACTATTTGACAGCGGAATTTCTTCAGGCAAATAGTAAAAAGCCCAACGTTTCCCCTTTGCTGATGATTGTTACGTAAAACGAAACGAAACAAAAGCCGTAGAGTGAGCGACATTAACATGAAGACATTTAGCTCCAAAAAGTCATTGCAAGTCTCATACTATTAACTATGATCTCTAAATAATCCCCCGGGAAGCTTTTGGGGAATGTAACCCGGTTCACTGCCATGGTTTGGCTTTCCTTGCAGTTATCCTTAATAATCTTAAGTGTCAGGATTTAATACGAGTAATGAGAGCAGCCACTTTATGTCCGATTCATGTGTTCGAAAGCGGAAAAAAATCTGCCGGAGGCCTCGGAGTTTGTGGGCTGAAGGTTAGAAGAGATGCACAAATCCACATGGACACGGTGTCTTTTTTTTCATCACCTCTGAAAGAATCATCCGCTCAACTCTTAAGCAACTTCTGCAGCTACTCCGGTCCATCGCCACCTTCAGCTAACACGTGGCCTCAAAACAGAGAGGAAAAGAAATGTATATGGAGTCATGTTTTCATTCGATGAAAACTTTCCTAATTGTCTTGGCGCCTGATGCTAAATCCCCATCACCAAAGAAATCAATTCCTCTCCACTTTCTCTTCATTGTGCTCTGCCCCCCGTTCTCCCGTCAGCCGCCCTCCCCAAACTCCCACTTGCACTGGTCGATAGCGGAACGGGCATCTAGCAGTGGCTTTGGTCTAAGTGAGGGATTGATTTTTGTGTGGGTGGGGGGCGGGGGGGGGGGGGTAACTATGGGGCTTGAGTCACAGACCTCTTCTCTAAAATGCTCCCTGATGAAGTCTGTGATTTAGTTGTGCTCAAGAACAATACTTGTCATTAGGGGCTGATAGCATTCATTATGAGCGACGCGGCGGCGCCACTAATGAGGCCAAACACCTCGTTCTCCTCCAGACACAACGAAGCGCGGCCGAGGCGCACGCAGGGAGACGCCACATCGTCCCGATTGCAGGCTTGGGTTTCACTCTCGGGGGGCCACGTTGGCTCATCAGAGCGCCCCGGAAGCGAAAAGTGGCTGGACGGGAGTCTTTGTTTTGGAAGCTCCGCTCATAATATTTACTGAGGCGCTGGTATTGTCAGACGCACAATGACAGGCTCCCTCCCCCCTCACCCCCCACTCCCCCCCATCCTCCTGTCCTCCCGTCCTCCCGGCCCCCTTCCATCCAAAGCCGATGAGCACAGAGCGCGTTCCCATTGTCTGCATTCTAGATGCTGCTTCGGGATTTGCGTTTGGGCCTTTGTGTGTAAATATACATGGCCCTCCCCGACCTGTGCCTGTCCGCCGGGGTCCGACTGCATGGAATCTCCTCTCTTTCCACAGATGTTCTGTATTATTCAGAGATCTGGACCTTTTTACGGACGAGAGGGAAAACGGCAAAGCAGAAACGCAGAGCGAGAGGGAGAGAGAGAGAGAGGGAGGAGGCAGGAGAGAGTAGCATCAACAGTGAGATACATGAACAGGAGGTCAGAGAGGTGACGGACGGACGGGGGGGGTGGAATGGAGGGGGGGGGGTTGGGCGAGAGGCAGAAAGTGTGTGACAGGGAGAGCGGGAGGAGAGACACACACTGCATCACAAAGGTTGCCTCACATTGACAAAAACCCACCGACCAATGCTTTGGCCAGGCAGCGCTGGCGCACACACACACACACACAAAACCTGCCACGTGCTGCGTGTGTGTGTGTGTGTGTGTGTGTGTGCTGGTGGTCCGCATGCTGCAGAAGAGTGTTTGAAATGCAGAGCACGTCCTAGGGAGCTCCTTTTGCAGTAAAGCCTCATTAAATAGACACTTGCCTTAAAGCAAGGATATACTGCCAGGACCACACACACACACACACACACACACACACGTTCAACACCAGAGATTCGCTCAGGCCACAAAAAGCAACGCACACTCAGAAAAGACTTCAGGCGAGTCCAATAGAAATCTCTGTGGAGAAATAAAAAGAAATGCGACAGAGTAAACGTCCTCCACCACCCTCCTCATTCCTCCTTGTTCCCTGTCCTTGTTCTTCATATGAATAAAGTTGAATCCATCCACACCACACGCCCACGCGCCGCTCTCCCATCTCGCACTGATATTGTATTCATGTATATTTGATTGTGTCGACTCGGTGGAGATTAGCGATGCTGTATCTCGTGTGCCTTTTTAAAAATGCATCTATGAATAAATAACGTGTGTATCCGCTGATATATTGCCAAAAAGCCATGATGAAATGATAATGTAATAACTGTCGCCGCGTTGAATAAAGTGGAGCGCTACTCATTCTTTCTGTTTATTTGAGGGGGGTTTTATCGGGGGGGGGGGGGGCCTGATGACATTCTCCTTGCCACTGACAGTGCGTTTTAATAAAGAGAGAGCTTTTTTCTATACATCCGAGTGCTGCATGGTTATTTGGAGAAATTAATAAAGAGAAACGAGCCGTATCCCCCCCCTCCCGCACCTCCCGAGGCCTTCTAATTGACAGCGATAGCGATGACTTGTCTCCTGGGCTGACGTCGGGGGGGGGGGCCTAATAAAGATGCATCACT